CTACTGTCTACATAATACATCTGTTCTACTGTCTACATAATGCTTCTGTTCTACTGTCTATATAATACATCTGTTCTACTGTCTACATAATACATCTGTTCTTCTGTCTAAATAATACATCTATTCTACTGTCTACATAATACAACTGTTCTACTGTCTACATAATACATTTGTTCTACTTTCAACATAATACATATGTTTTACTGTCCATAAAATATATCAGTTCTACTGCCCACATTATACATCTGTTCTACTGTCTACATAATACATCTGTTCTACTGTCTACATAATACATATGCTCTACTGTCAACATAATACATATCTTCTCCTGTCTACATCATACATCTGTTCTACTGTCTACATAATACATCTATTCTACTGTCTAGATAATACATCTGTTCTACTATCTACATAATGTTTCTGTTCTACTGTCTACATAAAACATCTGTTCTTCTGTCCATATAATACAACAGTTCTACTGTCTACATAATACATCTGTTCTGCTCTCTACATTATACAGCTGTTCTACTGTTCGTATAATACATCTGTTCTACTGTTCATATAATACATCTGTTCTACTGTTCATATAATACATCTGTTCTAATGTCTACATAATAGATCTTTTCTACTCTCTACATAATACACCTGTTCTACTGTCTACATAATTCATTTGTTCTGCTGTCTTTCCCTGTCAATTCTTGGTCTTTTAAGGTTTAATTATCAATTTCATGTGGAGAAAAAGTTACGTGAATTTCATTTAACATTTACATATATGTTAATAGTGTTAGACGAAATACAAATTCATAATCATGTGTGAGACACCGTGTTGAATTTGCGTTTGTTTATTTCATCCAGGTGAGAAATTTTAACATGATAGCATGTAAGAGGTCTGGATATACAAGACGGCCCAGGTAAGTATCATATATAGAACTTACTGTTATTCAATTTCGAATATCTGAGGAAAATCCTTTCAGAAATCATTAAGAGCTAACCTTTATCTTATGCCGCGCCATTTTACGACCCACTCTATATTTAATGTGAATTTATGATCATGCTTTATTTCCAGACCTTATCCTCACTCCTAGTCAACAGGGACTGAAAACAAATATGAATTTATCTGAAGACAGACCATTGATACAGGTCGGTGTCAGCAATTTTATGTCTTTACATATAAAGCAATATAACAGACATGTCCCCCGCCATGTCAGGGTATACCATTGTTACAGACGTGCCCTCCGCCATGTCAGGGTATACCACTGTTACAGACGTGTGCTTCGCCATGTCAGGGTATACCACTGTTACAGACGTGTCCCGTGCCACGTCAGGCTATACCACTGTTACAGACGTGTCCCGCGCCACGTCAGGATATACCAATGTTACAGACGTGTCCCGTGCCACGTCAGGGTATACCACTGTTGCAAATGTGCCCCCCGCCATGGCACGGTATACCACTGTTACAACTGTTGCAATTACGAAAATATGACTCGCAATATCGCAGTTCTGTATTGGACAAAGTGCGTGTTTTGCGTATCCGATCTTCTAACATCGCAATAGCATGTATTAAATATAGCTTGATAACAATTAGTACTTTAATGATGATGTCTATTCGGAAATGTCTCTATCTTTTTCGTTATCTATTCAAAACATTTGTCTTCGCCCTATGTTTCACTCTGACAGCTAAATGACATATATTTCAGATTGAGCTGGAAAATATCGCCGCTGTTTTACTTTGTCTAGGCTTATCGAGAAAAGGGCGAAATAGACCAAACAGAAACTATGGGGACAATTTCCAAGTACAGTGCAATAATAATAATAATAGTAATAATAATTATAAACTTTATTTATTTTACAACAATTGCGCAACAAGTTTTTCCAACTTATATTAATCACTCTTGTTGGCCCGGATGTAAGGGCGCGAGGGGTCTTACTGTGCGAGGAAACCGGAGTACCCGGGGAAAACCCACGCGGATGGCTAGGTGAAAGGCGAGTGCAATACCACTGCGCCATCAGACCAAGTATAGAGTAAGGATATGTCAGATATGATTTTAATAGATAAATTAGATGTTTAACGATAATATCCAGCTGTGTGTTTTGTTTAATGATGAAGACAGAAAAAAAATCCATCTTATTCCGATCGCGACATCTAAAACGAATACCCAGAACTTCAAATTCCCTCGGATAATGGAAATTGACAAGAAGGAATCAAAGTTCCCCTTGGGTAATGGAAACTGACAAGAAGGAATCAAAGTTCCCCTTGAGTAATGGAAACTGACAAGAAGGAATCAAAGTTCCCCTTGGATAATGGAAACTGACAAGAAGAAATCAAAGTTCGTTACAATTATATATAGATAATCGTCTGAATGGCCTGGTATAGGGATCAAAGCCCAATTCTGGTTACTTATTACAAGTATTACAAGATTTTGTGGTAGGTATATATTTGTAGAGGTTGAGTGTACAGTCACTTCCTTTCATTCGAGTGGAAGAATGTCCGCCTAAATACCGCAACCCAACAAATTCAGTCCCATCTTCTCTTTAAAGTCTTCTTAAGATGTCGATTTTATTTTCTTGTCGGTTTAAACAATCTATCAGTGGGCTATCTACATTGTAGTGTATTTTGGTAGTTTGGATTTACGAAAGCAAACTTGTATCTACATATACAAACAATACATATGTATACATATATTATCGTTTACATATATTATCGTTTGTCCTTGGACTCAACCTGGGGAAACCGGTATTGCGATGTCGTCTCCACTACCTGTGTCGAAGGGTGCTGTGTAGAATTAAGTATGAATATTAAGGCTATCATAAAAGATGATCTTGCACGAAACAAATAATTCAAGTTATTTGTATCAATTTTTTTAGAGAAGAAACAATCGTCTCATTTTTTCAGATTATTGATGGTGTTTAACGGCTAAGTGGTATATTTACGATATTTTGAATAGACAAGAGAGTATTCCTTTCTACGTCTGCTACAGCATATCCCACTAAACGGAAGTCGACGAAATGAAAACAAAACATGAACTAGAAGAGTAGAAAGAGAAAAAAACAAGGTGGTTCGGAGTAGTAAGCGTCTTCTGCTTCTTTGTTCTTTCGGTAGAAGGTAAATGGTACAGAACAGAGATTATGAGTACAGGGTAAGGGGCAGGAGATACAGGATGAAACAGTTCAAGGTAGAGGATACAGGGATAGGGGTACAGGGCGAGGGGTACAAGGTTAAGGGTACAGGGCGAGGGGTACAAGGTTAGGGGTACAGGATTAGGGGTACAAGGTAAGGGGAACAAGGTAAGGGGTACAGGGTAAGGGGTACAGGGTTAGGGGTACAGGGTTAGGGGTACAAGGTAAGTGGTACAAGGTAAGGGGTACAGCATTAGGGGTACAAGGTAAGGGTTACAGGGTAAGCGGTACAGAGTAAGGGATACAAGGTAAGGGGTACAGGGTAAGGGATACAGGGTAAGGGGTACAGGGTAAAGGTTACAGGGTAAGGGATACAGGGTACAGGGTACGGGATACAGGGTACAGGGTAAGGGGTACGGGGTAAGGAGTACAGGGTAAGTGATACAAGGTAAGGGATACAAGGTAAGGGGTACAGAGTAAGGGGTACAGGGTAAGGGGTACAGGGTAAGTGATACAAGGTAAGGGATACAAGGTAAGGGGTACAGAGTAAGGGGTACAGGGTAAGGGGTATAGGGTAAGGAGTACAGGGTAAGTGAAACAAGGTAAGGGATACAAGGTAAGGGGTACAGGGTACGGGGTACAGTTTAAGGGGTACAAGGTAAAGGGTACAGGGTAAGTGATACAAGGTAAGGGATACAAGGTAAGGGGTACAGAGTAAGGGGTACAAGGGTAAGGGGTACAGGGTAAAGGATACATGTTAAGGGGTACAGGGTAAGGGGTACAAGGTAAGGGATACAGGGTAAGGGGTACAGAGTAAAGGATACATGTTAAGGGGTACAGGGTAAAGGATACAAGGTAAGGGATACAAGGTAAGAGATACAGTTTAATGGGTATAAGGTAAAAGGTACTGGGTAAGGGATACAGGGTAAGGGGTATAGTGCTGTGTAAATATTAGATTGCACATCGCGGTAACTAATACTAGTATCTGTAAGGTTTTGGTATGTATCATGATTAATTCATACAAAGAATGTATCTACAGATAATGGTTAACATAAATGTTATTATGATGAAATTATTCGGACCTGGACTTGTATGGCATGTACATTGAACATTCTACCCAATCTAATTAACTCTCCCCACACTCGAGCTCACGTCAAACCATTTTAAGAACCAGTCGAAGTGTATGAGACTCAACAGTGAAAATTATTTTAGATCTATAAAAAAAAATACCAGCATACAACCATTTGAAGTAATGTGTTTAATGTATTGAAACATTTCATTTTTCCGTCTTAATCCATCATGTCTCCGAGGCATGAAATTTCATCTTGTTTGTTTACAAAGCTAATGCAGGTACTAGTCAGAATATATAGTGCCTGTTGGAAACCTCTCCATCTATCTGGGTTTTAAAAAATGGAATAATTTATTTCCGTCTGACACGACCTTGGCGATGAATGCATTTCGTGCAATGTATTTAACGCAAATATACATCTACTTTCTGGGCCATTTTTTCTTTTTTTTTTTTTTTTTTGTTTAAACGGGTATTTTATTTGGTTAAACAAGTATGATTTGTCCGTAATTTGCATAAGCATACATTGCCCGTTTTATCGTCTATGCTTCGTCACGTGCCCTCCTTAAGAGGTAATATCGTGGTCGTAATGCAGTTAACTGCAATTTTAGGTACATAATTAGGGCGTATTTAACCCTCGGCCGTCGTGACACGACGCGACACCTCCACGGAACATCTCCACGGGACACCGCGTCTTTGTTTACTGACCAAGTTCCTGTAGTGAACATCAGGAAAACTGAATGAAATTATTTTCAAGCATCATTATTAGATCTAGCTTGTGAATTTTTGGTAATTTTGTGTGTAACCAATTTCCGTCATGGCTGAGATGCGCACCAGTGGTAATACAAATGAGTCGCACTCTGAATTGGTCTCACAACTTTCGTTCAAACAGAAGTCCGGCCTGGGCCGCTGGTCAGCGTTTTTGGCAGTAGTAGCCATAGTAGTCATCGTCGCTTTGGCCATCGCACTAGGAATTGTCGCTGGGACAGATCACAAGGAAAATGACAGCTCATCGTCCTCCGCGTCGTCAGAAATGTCCTGTCAGCTGAGCACACCCGACTGTTTCTCTCACGAGGGTTCGGCAGACAGGAACCTGGACGTAGCTAAATGTGTGCTGGAAAGCTACCCCCTTATTGACGGGCAAGTATTAACACATTTTTTCCTCACAGTAAAAAGTTCATTTATAATGATAGCTTAAATAAATAAATACGACAGGTTTTGAAGCTATATTTCGGTGAAAAGTTTGTGTTGTGAGAATGTTTAGTAATATGAGTCTGTTAAAAGAAATATCAAAATTTCGGTAAATTTCTCATTAAGATTTGTCCCCGCCCAGACATGGTATGACGTCATCAGTATTTATGATAGAATACCGCTACGACATGCCCACAACTGTCGGCGAAACTACCATAGATCGCACGACGCCACATCGACACGTAGTAGAAATTCCCCCAGATCGTCCGACATACCCACGACTGTCGGCGAAACTACCATAGATCGTACGACGCCACATCGACACGTAGTAGAAATTCCCCTAGATCGTCCGACATACCCACGACTGTCGGCGAAACTACTATAGATCGTACGACGCATCATCGACACGTAGTAGAAATTCCCCCAGATCGTCCGACATATCCACGACTGTCGGCGAAACTACCATAGATCGAACGACGCCTCATCGACACGTAGTAGAAATTCCCCCAGATCGTCCGACATACCCAGGACTGTCGGCGAAACTACCATAGATCGTACGACGCCACATCGACACATAGTAGAAATTCCCCCAGATCGTCCGACATACCCACGACTGTCGGCGAAACTACCATAGATCGTACGACGCCACATCGACACGTAGTAGAAATTCCCCCAGATCGTCCGACATACCCACGACTGTCGGCGAAACTACCATAGATCGTACGACGCCACATCGACACGTAGTAGAAATTCCCCCAGATCGTCCGACATACCCACGACTGTCGGCGAAACTACCATAGATCGTACGACGCCACATCGACACGTAGTAGAAATTCCCCCAGATCGTCCGACATACCCACGACTGTCGGCGAAACTACTATAGATCGAACGACGCCTCATCGACACGTAGTAGAAATTCCCCCAGATCGTCCGACATACCCACGACTGTCGGCGAAACTACCATAGATCGTACGACGCCTCATCGACACGTAGTAGAAATTCCCCCAGATCGTCCGACATACCCACGACTGTCGGCGAAACTACCATAGATCGTACGACGCCACATCGACACGTAGTAGAAATTCCCCCAGATCGTCCGACATACCCACGACTGTCGGCGAAACTACCATAGATCGTACGACGCCACATCGACACGTAGTAGAAATTCCCCCAGATCGTCCGACATACCCACGACTGTCGGCGAAACTACTATAGATCGAACGACGCCTCATCGACACGTAGTAGAAATTCCCCCAGATCGTCCGACATACCCACGACTGTCGGCGAAACTACCATAGATCGTACGAAGCCACATCGACACATAGTAGAAATTCCCCCAGATCGTCCGACATACCCACGACTGTCGGCGAAACTACCATAGATCGTACGAAGCCACATCGACACGTAGTAGAAATTCCCCCAGATCGTCCGACATACCCACGACTGTCGGCGAAACTACCATAGATCGCACGACGCCTCATCGACACGTAGTAGAAATTCCCCCAGATCGTCCGACATATCAACGACTGTCGGCGAAACTACCATAGATCGTACGACGCCACATCGACACGTAGTAGAAATTCCCCCAGATCGTCCGACATACCCACGACTGTCGGCGAAACTACCATAGATCGTACGACGCCACATCGACACGTAGTAGAAATTCCCCCAGATCGTCCGACATACCCACGACTGTCGGCGAAACTACCATAGATCGTACGACGCCACATCGACACGTAGTAGAAATTACCCCAGATCGTCCGACATACCCACGACTGTCGGCGAAACTACCATAGATCGTACGACGCCACATCGACACGTAGTAGAAATTCCCCCAGATCGTCCGACATACCCACGACTGTCGGCGAAACTACCATAGATCGTACGACGCCACATCGACACGTAGTAGAAATTCCCCCAGATCGTCCGACATACCCACGACTGTCGGCGAAACTACCATAGATCGTACGACGCCACATCGACACGTAGTAGAAATTCCCCCAGATCGTCCGACATACCCACGACTGTCGGCGAAACTACCATAGATCGTACGACGCCTCATCGACACGTAGTAGAAATTCCCCCAGATCGTCCGACATACCAACGACTGTCGGCGAAACTACCATAGATCGTACGACGCCACATCGACACGTAGTAGAAATTCCCCCAGATCGTCCGACATACCCACGACTGTCGGCGAAACTACCATAGATCGTACGACGCCACATCGACACGTAGTAGAAATTCCAACAGATCGTCCGACATACCCACGACTGTCGGCGAAACTACCATAGATCGTACGACGCATCATCGACACGTAGTAGAAATTCCCCCAGATCGTCCGACATACCCACGACTGTCGGCGAAACTACCATAGATCGTGCGACGCCACATCGACACGTAGTAGAAATTCCCCCAGATCGTCCGACATACCCACGACTGTCGGCGAAACTACTATAGATCGTACGACGCATCATCGACACGTAGTAGAAATTCCCCCAGATCGTCCGACATATCCACGACTGTCGGCGAAACTACTATAGATCGTACGACGCCACATCGACACGTAGTAGAAATTCCCCCAGATCGTCCGACATACCCACGACTGTCGGCGAAACTACCATAGATCGTACGACGCCTCATTGAATAGTATAAATTTCTCTAGATATCGGCGTCATTTAGTCCTGAAATATCTTTGTTCCTGGTTAAATATGTAAATATTGGGTGTCATTTAGTCCTTTAAGATATCGGCATTATCGCTTGTTATTCAGGCTACAGAAGTAAATGTACATTACACTCCGTATACAGATCATAGCTTTTTTAGGAATCTCTTTAGGAAGAAACTGGTTTGTGACTTTTTCAGGTGTTTGTTTTAATCTTTAAAACTAAACTAGAGGGTCTTTATATACCAAGCGAAAAGTATTTGTGTGTTGTAATTAAAACCAGATAAACTGTGGGACCAAATTTATTTTTCCTCGACACTTTCCTGCTTCTGTTGTTGTTGTTTGCTGTTGTTGTTTGTTTGTTTTTGTTGTTTGATGTTGTCGTCGTCGTTTTACATGCTGTTGTTGATTTCACGTTTATTTCTCTCTCACTAAAATAAAGTTATCAATCTTCTGTTATACAGCCACAATGACCTGGCCTACCAGTACTACAGTAATGTGGATAACAAAGTTTACAGTGTCAACATGCGGGAAGATCTACGACAGGTCTGGCCAAACGCATCCGTTCATACCGATATACCCAGGATAAAGGAAGGGCGACTAGGGGCTCAGGTACACTAACGGATATTTTACTCAATCGACAGCAACACATACTAAAATCAAACAAAGTATGTACAAAATAACAAATACAGTGTACAATCTTTACCAAGGGGAAAATACTCACAACATTGAGTGTGTACTCACTACACAGAGACACATACATGTATACTCACAATACACACATTTGTAGATTGTGTTCTCACTACACAGGGACAAATACTCACAACACATAGATCACACACACACAAATTGTGTTCTCACTACACAGGGACAAATACTCACACACACAGATTATGTTCTCACTACACATGGACAAATACTCACAACACACAGATTGTGTTCTCACTACACAGGGACAAATACTCACACACACAGATTATGTTCTCACTACACATGGACAAATACTCACACACACAGATTATGTTCTCACTACACATGGACAAATACTCACAACACATAGATTGTGTTCTCACTACACAGGGACAAATACTCACACACACACAGATTGTGTTCTCACTACACAGGGACAAATACTCACAACACACAGATTGTGTTCTCACTACACAGGGACAAATACTCACACACGCACACAGATTATGTTCTCACTACACAGGGACAAATACTCACAACACACAGATTGTGTTCTCACTACACAGGGATAAATACACACACACAGATTGTGTTCTCACTACACAGGGACAAATACTCTCACACACACAGATTGTGTTCTCACTGCACATGGACAAATACACACACAGATTGTGTTCTCACTACACATGGACAAATACTCTCGCACACACACAGATTGTGTTCTCACTACACAGGGACAAATACTCTCACACACACAGATTGTGTTCTCACTACACAGGGACAAATACTCTCTCACACACACACAGATTGTGTTCTCACTACACAGGGACAAATACTCTCACACACACAGATTGTGTTCTCACTACACAGGGACAAATACTCACACACGCACACACAGATTGTGTTCTCACTACACAGGGACAAATACTCTCATACACAGAGATTGTGTTCTCACTACACAGGGACAAATACTCTCACACACAGAGATTGTGTTCTCACTACACAGGGACAAATACTCTCACACACACAGATTGTGTTCTCACTACAGAGGGACAAATACTCTCACACACAGATTGTGTTCTCACTACACAGGGACAAATACTCTCACACACACACAAATTGTGTTCTCACTACACATGGACAAATACTCTCACACACACAGATTGTGTTCTCACTACACAGGGACAAATACTCACAATGTGTAATATACATAGCTTGGCTTCGATAGTCTTTTTACTTGACTTTTTCTGTTTTTAGTTCTGGGCCTGTTACGTGTCCTGTGATACCCAGTATAAGGACGCTGTTCGCCGATCTCTCGATCAGTTGGACACCATTAAAAAGTTTACAAGTAAATACCCGGATGTGTTTGAATTTGTTACCTCTGCCCAAGGTGAGTACGCAGACACCATTTTGTTTTCACCACATGTATAATATAGATTTGTTTGTTTCTATTCCACTTTTATTATTACTATTATTTATTTTACTGATTTGGTTTTTTCTCATGCCCCCGAATAGAAAGATCGGGGCATATTGTTTTAGTGTTGTTTGTTTGTTGTCAACTTTAACCTTACCCATAACTATTGCACTGTCAGAGGTAAAGCTTTCATATTTGGCCTGTCTGTTCCTTGTGACAAGACCTTTCCGGTGGTACCAAATATTTTGAAAATGTGACCTTGATCGTGACCTTCAACCTACATTTGAAAATTTAAAAATATCATTTCCACAATGAAGACATCAGTGTTTCACTATTAGCACATGTCTTACACAGTGCAGTTTTGATGCCCCACTTCAGGATTTTTGTTGCAACCGGGAGCATAGTGTTTCATAAACACGTCTTGTCGTTTCTGTTTTTTGTTTTTTTGTTTTTGTTTTTTATTTTTTTTTTTTGAGGGGGGGATTGTTTTGTTTTATTTTTAGTTGTTTGTTTTCCTTTCTTTCTTTCTTTTTTTGTGTTTCTTTTTCTTTTTTGTTATTTGTTGTTTTTTGTTTTGTATTTTTACTTAATTTTGTTTTCATTTGCTTCTTGTTTGTCATATCAGAACATAGTAGTCGTTCGCCAAGAGTTACGTCCCCTTCACATCTTCGTCGTAACAGGCTTCCCATTAGAAAGATACGACATTTGGCATGTTTTTATTAAAGTTAAGGTACAAATGGTTGTTGCTACATCTATTACATTTCGTGACAACGACACAAGGATGTTTTATGCATGCTCCAGTAGTTATAATGAAAAGCAATCAAAGGAAACATCCGTAAAATTACTCGAGTTCATCTTGCAGCTTGCTGCTATTACAACGTGAAACACCATGGCGGACGAACGGGTTTCCCCAAGTTCAATATAGGTTGCTATAAATATTTATCCAATAAGCTATTACGCTCGCTATGACGCATTAGGGATTTAATCCCATCTGTCAAATGAAATTGGTCAACAGAAAATCTATTTTAAGCCCGTAATTACCGGCATGACGATGCAGTGTTGATGCAAATAGACGCCTTCAGAAATAGTTCCGGGCCAAGGAAAAACGGACCAATGACAACAAAATTGAAACAGTAACTTTATTAACAACAATAGATTGACATTCCTTGTCAAATAAAGCATATATCAAAACTAGATATACATATATCCATTATCAAAAGCCATCACTCCACAACTATTTTTTTATTTAAAACGAAGTCAGAAACACTTGCATATTTATATGTCGCCAGAATGGCTTGTCTAGATAATTAAGATAATAAAAATAATTTCGAAAAGTCCCTGTGATTTTGCTACTTCTGGTTATTAATTTTGTAAATATGCCTTTTTTTCTCACTTGATGTACAAAATATTGCCCCATTAGGATATTCTGACAAGGTGAAGTTAACGACGCCATCAAAAGACCATGGCTGCAATAGTAATAATGGTATTGACTTATCTGCAAATAAATTGGCAACCATACAACTTAATGCTAGAATCACTGTAATTCCTCCACCAGTATGAGTGATTTACATTATTCTGATAGTGTAACAAACAAGCTCTGTCCCGTCAGTTTATCCTAATAGGGATCTATGAAGGTATAATGGAATGCTGACAATATTCATATATTGAACAATCATTTTAATTTGTCACACGAAAAAAAAAAAACAAGAGCCTGTTTCAGGTCACGAAATACGCCTGTGATTTTGTCTGACTATCACCTACACTATTTATGCTGTATATAATATATTGCATTTGTTTCAATGGTAATTGCGTAATACTTTGCAAAGTTATTGCACCGACATTGAAAAGGTTACAGACATTAATGGGCCGTAACTCTAAAAATTGTGGATCAAAAATCATGGAAATCAAACTCAATCTAGCTTTGATTGTACTTAAGCTTGCAATGAAAGTTAAAAGAAATCTGTTAAGGCTTAATAAATTCCAAATCGCTGGACATTGAAATGTTTACGAACAGAGGGACATACGGACGGAAGATGGACGGATGGAAGACGAGAATACCATAATATGTCCTGTCATTTGACGGGTGATGTATAAATACATAAATATCAAACAAAAAGAAAGTAAATAAATGTAAAGATCATAAATCTAAAATAATAAGCAAAATCACTTGAGGTACGCATATTGTGCATAAAAATACATTGAAAAATTGATTTAAGATTAGAAACAAGAGGCCCATGGGCCTTATCGGTCACCTTAGAATCAATCACTTCATAAGCAATGGTAAGAACTGACAGTATTTCTGATATTGATTTACATTTATTATTAACCGCTAATAGTTGTCTGCTGTTTAAAGAATAATTATAAAAAAAATCATCACATGTTTTGTTTTTTATTTGTCTATTTCATTATATCTAGGAACATTTATCTCATAGTGATATAGTGACAGCTGTCAGTTGCTCACTTATTATGAGTCCATACTAGTTTATGGAGAAATTACTGAAATTAGCATGTCTATGTGTGCTTGATGATGAAGATAATGATGTTGACTGTGTCTAAGAATCTGCAGCATCCTTATGCATGGAAGTTAAAGTGTGTGAAGAAGCTGATAATGAGGATGTGTGATGCTGCTGTGTGATGCTGCTGATGTCGGTATATATGATGATGTTGAGGTGTGACGATGCTGATTTGGTATGTGATAATGCGGATGTGTAATGCTGCTGAAGTGTGATGATGCTAATGTTGATAGATGACCATAATGATGCTGATGGTATGTGATGATGCTAATGTGTGACGAGGATGATGATTGTATATGATGACGTTGATGTCAGATGCTGATGTTGTTTGTTTATGTAACAATGCTGGAGTGCTAGTATGGCTGCAAGTTATAAATATATGTTTAGAGTGATTGTGTTACATAGTGTCTATGATAGTTAAGATATAGTGTGCAACTCAAAATGCTGTGTGTTTAGTGGTGAAAATGATGCATGACTATACTCTGTAAGTGTGTGACGATGGGAGTTATAGACTGATAGTATATATGAATCTATTTATTCCTCATGTGTTTTTCGATAAATAAAAATAAACAAATATATATAAATAAATAAAAATAAAATTGATATTATCCCTGTTAATAATTAACATTTAAAATTACTTTTGCTAAATGATTCTCTTGGCATGTTTAAATGGGTTAAAATTTCCCTTGCACCGGTTGCAGTGCGCTTCCATAAAATTCTACAACGATACTACGCGATCGCTCAAAACTACAGCTCAAGCACCATTTCATCAATTAAATAATATTAATATAATACCAAAAGAACTATTACTTACGCATAAGAACTCACCACAGTTCCCCGTAAGCAATTTCTTTCCGTGAGGTGCGCGTAATACCCGCC